TTTTGTTCGCTGTATTTTTCTTTTCGCGGGAACGTTTGATGATCTAAAAGAAAAGCCAATGTCACACAATAGAAATTGCATTGTTACGAGAGCTGTCAGAGAACAGAACGAGCGTTTATTGATTTTACAAAAGATTCGTTTGTCCTCGAGTTCAAGGCAATGACTTATAAGTGACTTCCAATTGTTTTTCTTTTACCTTTCTCACTTCACGTTCTTTTTATGGGTCTGTTTTTTGCGGATGAGTGACCTACTTTATAAAGACTGAATAAAACAGTTACATTATCAGTCGATGCATTTTTTCTTTGTTTTCGTTGGGCGAGAGCCCATCACGTGACCTGCGAGTAACTGTCTACAAATAATGGTCCGCTCATGCGCAATACTGTCTAAATGCGTTTTGCTGTAAATGATATTCTGCGCATGCTTAATTACTGATCATGTTCTCCGATGAAAATGGCAGATTGCTTCCCAGAGCTGTCAGAGAATGATTTACTCAGTATGAAAACAAACTTGGTGATTAAATTATAAAAAACAAATGATTATTGAACTCGGTCATCGGTCATGATCAATGTCTCGTAGATCATGATATTTTGCTCAACCTCGTTAATCATGTGAAAAAAAGAAAGAGTGATAGTTAAGGTTATTGAAACTGCACCTCTACGTTACATCAGTTACGATTTTATTCGTCACCTGTAGAAGTTAATCATATCCACCACGTTGAACGGATCAGATGTGTCGCTCGTGATCTCACTGGTAACATCACCCTCCTTTATTGGCCCAGGCTTAACACGCAGCGGATAAAACAGCACCAGGAGAAGAAGGACAAAGTAATGAGTGTTACCCATTTATCAGCTGGTTCTAAATATCTGCCTCTGTATTTCCTGATGATAAACACGAAGGAAAAATATAGCAGAGCAAATATCAATTTTTTTTATTGCATTTTCACATGAACCTCTTAAGAATATAAAATCGCTAGACAATCACGAGTGGGAANAACAGAACGAGCGTTTATTGATTTTACAAAAGATTCGTTTGTCCTCGAGTTCAAGGCAATGACTTATAAGTGACTTCCAATTGTTTTTCTTTTACCTTTCTCACTTCACGTTCTTTTTATTGGTCTGTTTGTTGCGGATGAGTGACCTACTTTATGAAGACTGAATAAAACAGTTACATTATCAGTCGATGCATTTTTTCTTCGTTTTCGTTGGCCGAGAGCCCACCACGTGACCTACAAATAACTGCCTACAAATAATGGTCCGCTCATGCGCAATACTGTCTAAATGTGTTTTTGCTGTAAATGATATTCTGCGCATGCTTAATTACTGATCACGTTCTCCGGTGAAAATGGCAGATAACTTCCCAGAGCTGTCAGAGAATGATTTACTCACTATGAAAACAAACTTGGTGATTAAATTATAAAAACAAATGATTATTGAACTCGGTTATCGCAAAATATCGTTAATTGTCATGATCAATGTCTCGTAGATCATGATATTTTTGCTCAACCTCGTTAATCATGTGAAAAAAAGAAAGAGTGATAGTTAAGGTTATTGAAGCTGCATCTCTACGTTACATCAGTTACGATTTTATTCGTCACCTGTAGAAGTTAATCATATCCACCACGTTGAACGGATCAGATGTGTCGCTCGTGATCTCAGTGGTAACATCACCCTCCTTTATTGGCCCAGGCTTAACACGCAGAGGATAAAACAGCACCAGGAGAGGAAGGACAAAGTGATGAGTGTTACCCATTTATCAGCTGGTTCTAAATATCTGCCTCTGTATTCCCTGATGATAAACACGAAGGAAAAATATGGCAGAGCAAATATGAATTTTTTTTATTGCATTTTCACATGAACCTCTTAAGAATATAAAATCGCTAGACAATCACGAGTGGGAATATGAGTTAGAAGAGCTTTAATTGAATTTATACTTCAGGCCGGAATCACCCTCAAACACCGAGTTGCAATTGGTGTCTTATAATTACCTGATCGATATATACGTCAGACACAGTTTATTCAAAAGAGTGTTTCATAAGTGTGGGCGGGATTCTCACTCCAACGTTTGACATTTCTCTTCGTGATTTTAATTCGCCATCCACAGATTCAAAATAATTTCTTACTAAGATGTTCTTTTTACAGATTTTCTTCGATGTTATTCATAGAGTTGACCAATTCTCACTGAGTTGCAAGTTAGAATTTCAGCTTTGCTTCAGTACTCATGATCACTAGTACTCGGCTAAAGGCTGATACAATCAGTCAAAGGTTTACTATATCACCTAAACTTTTCACTGAGAATCATTCGGCTCCATCTCAGCGTGGACAAAACCCTTGTTTCTTAGCTATTAGTTCAAATTTTGCCCTCTAATAAGACGCCATGCATGCGTGCGCATTTGCAAACGGACGCGTACGTATGTGTAATATAATCTGGGATTTTTTTTAATATGACATGAAAAATCGAAAATATTTACACTTGAGAAGAGACGGTGATTTCGCTAATACACAACATCCGGGATATATGTTCACTAAAATTTATCTTTAAAAAAATAATGCACGGAAAGCTCTAATAGCGGACTTACAGAGGCAATATTTTAATTATAATTTTTCCTCTCATGGTCTGACTGCGTGAGTTCAAACGGTTTGCAGTCCGCATCTAGGCCTGTCCCTATTGTGCTCGTAAAGCGCTGGAAAGTTGCTCACTGGAATGCCAAAAAGTTGTTAAAAATTTGCCAAAAATCTAAAACGTTGCAGCCTAAATTTCAAACGTTGCTACCTAAATTTATTGATATTTTTATATAAACGTTATTTAAAGCTCTATTTTTCGTTTTTCACAATTATTGCTAACATCGGACAAGAAAAATAGCTTGAAACTTGGTTTTAAAGAGTTGCTTACAGATATGGACGAAATTTAAGGATACTCTTAAATCTAAAGGAACAAAACACATGGTTAATTTGACGTCTTGCCGAACGACATGAGGAAACTTCAAACTTCAAAAGGTTGATAAACACTCAAGAAATTCGCATAAATTGAATTTTTCTATGAAATCGTTGGCTTTTTCGTGCTTGATATGTGTTCTAAACCTAGATTTTGCTCAAAACATGCTCAGAAAGGCAAAACTTGCTCGAGGTTGCTAGAACTGCAAAAAGCTGCTGCAAACGCCAAAAGTTGCTCAAAAACTGCCGAGCACAATCGGAACAGGCCTATCCGCATCATGAAAAGGCCAAAAAATCAATGATAAGTCTTTTCAGTATATATTATCAGGAATTTTGAAGTGAAGTATTACTATACATTTCAATTGTCATTTATATTTTCACCCCCGCCTTACGGGCTTGCAACAATATTGCAAGACTAGTGAAAATATTCAGCGATACTACACGTAAAACAGTCAATTCAATAAGATAGACCTTCCTTACTCAGTATAAGTATTCATTTTGAAGGAAAATGCGTAAAAATATTGAATCGAAATAAGTAAAGCACTAGCGAAAAATCTCGGTTGAAAATTAAACAATGTTTATAAACTGACTGATTCATGCAATCGCATACATAGCCAGACTTTACTGTTATAGATTGAAAGAGTAAGAGCTGTTCTAATGATTGAATGCGATAAAAGCATTTGGTGTATGGCATCGCATTTTGAAAGCCAAATAACTTCCTACCTTACGCCTCGCAAAGACAAATTTTCATAGAAGAACTTCACCAAAGCGTCAGTCGCCAGTTTTGATTATAGGTGAAGAACGAGACAAGTTTGATTTCCCCCGCGGTTGTCGGGAAAGTGATCCAATATTTGTCTAAGATCTTTCCGTTGCTGGGCACTATAGGAGTCCCGTGAAACTCGTACAAGATATTTCATCCAATCAAAGCGAGGGAATATCTGTGTATTTACCGGCAATCTGGTCTGTAAATTAAAGAGCAATGACATCGAGATC